TATTTTTACCTTGGCAGTGAAAACACAACTAGACCTACCAAGTTCGGTGGGGTCTTATTTACCTGCCTGTTTAGATCGGCAGCTGTAATCATAAAGAAAGACATACATGAACACGAATCTTTCAATTGGTATCATTAACCGTAACCTTCACTATTTGTTTTAATCACATGGTAGTTCTAGCACTGCTCAAGAATTTGTTTTATATCTTCCCATCTTTGCGCGGATATGTCTACTAGAGCCTTCAGCTCTTTGGCGTCCGCAGCCCATCCGCCATTCTTTTCCAGTTTCACAACAACAGTCTTCCCTTTCCCGCCCTGCTCTTTGTCAACTACGACACAGACTCTCTCCTGGCTCAGCCCTTCCTCGTAACCGTCGGGATCGGCCAGGATCCACCTCCGTTGGTTTCCCTTCCTAGAGCTGTCATCAAGCTCCCTCTCCTCTTCAGCATCTGGAATGACCTCAGCTCTCCACCCAGAAGCCGCATCAGCCTCGAAAACAGCGAAGGAGCTCGAGACAGGCAGTCCCTGCAAAGACAGCTTGCGCGACTCCGAGATAGCGTCCGAACACACCACCATTTCGTTATCAACATCCCACCACGCCCGGGGCAACTTGGTATCCCGCAGCGCGGCAAGGACAGCCGCCCAAGCAGCATCAAAGGGATTACCAGCCAGCGAAACAATCATAACATCAATATAAAGCACCCAGAAAGCCTTAATCTCCCTGTTTTTCTCGGCGCCAGCTTCTCCCTGGGGTGCATCTACATCCATCTGTTCGCTTTCATTGTGACGTTCTAGTTCCTCAGGCCCCAGATTCGGCGGTTGATACCAAATTCGTAGGTCCTCCGCACGGACCAGTCGTGTGCTGTGCAACAATGTGAGGATTTGGTGGGACAGCGACTGTGCCAATGCCGAGGGAGGTGCGCCTGGGATAAAGCCTGGCGCGCACCCGGTGCTCAGGGAGAGGTTAGGCACTAAAAGGTTGAAGTCTTGAATGTGTGATTCATCGTTGTCTTCTTCATTATTGTCGTCGGGCGTTTCGCTTGGCTTGGCCGTAGGATCCGTTAGCTTGCGGCGCTTGTTTGCTGGAGTGGATGATGATGATGATGATGATGCTGGTGGTGGTCGGGATACGCTCCACGATGCAATGTCTTCTGTGTGCAGGATTTCCGCGCGAACACCGCATACGGCAGTGGTATCGCCGAGTCTCACTACGGCACTGCCATTCGTATGGGTCAAGGAGCCCGTATTGGCAGACGTAACACGGAACTGTGAAGTGGCACGGCCATTGGCTCGGATAGATGGTTGGTGACTCGATGGGGGAGGTGATAAGTGGGCAAGAAGGTAAGCGTGAGGTTGAAGCCGCGCGAACTGTGAGGGGGGCAGAGTAAGAGACGTGGTCGGTTGCGCAGCTGCAGCTGCGGCTGGAGCCATTTTCAAATGAGAATAATCCACGGGCGGATTCAACCAGCTGATAGGGAAGATTGTATAATGAGGGGAATAATTGGATTTCCCGATCTGGTCGTTCTTGTTGGTCGTTGGAAAGAAGCTGCAACTTATTTTTCGGCGGCAGAATAGTTTCGATATTATAGGCGGTGAATGCTGCGCAAGCCAATAACCCTGCGGAGTATTTAGCCACCAACACTCACATTTACGCTACTACTACTAGCTGCTAGCATAACCTACTAATTCATTTAGTTGGATATATACCCGACGCTTTCTGCGCAATATGTGAGGGGTTGCTCTTCTGCTAATGGAGATTAGTCTATTGCGAAAGGTATAGTAGAAACACCCCTCACAAGTCAGATTGTATGACCAAGGAGCAGAGCCGGTGTTGCTCCAGGCTACTATGGATGAAGACCAGTTCACATCGCGCGTTCCTAATGAAATGAACAAGTAACGCAATCACATCTCTGCCTTACAGTCGACCATCACGACATGGTAATACATATTAGGAAACTGACGAAAGGGCATCCGCGTCTTTTTTCAGGTCTAAGATGCAAAAGAAGCACCTCATTTCCTAAAACCAGAAGCCATACCCGTGACGAGAGGCGATTTGATAGCTGTTTTGCTTGTATGTAGCCAGTTTAATTGAACGTTTCGGAATTATGTTCAAAGGATCGCCGCCTGATCTATATATAAACACGAGATGTCGTCGATCGCGTTAGTTTCCGAACAAGAGTCCTTATCTGGTCCGAGCGAAGAGGGCGGAAGACAAATTTGAAAGCAACACGATGTCATATATGCTGCACTATGGTAGGGCCTTACGGCGATGCTCAGTTTGGGGGCTTTTAACTGGCGCATAACAGTCGTAAAGTTATTTTGCTCGTGATTGCACCATTTGTTACGAGCCAAGCAAGGACAATAAGGTTCCTAGTCCTACGTAGGCAATACTAAGTATCGTGTTCTGCGTTGATCGGAATGTTTGTGTCTATTCTCGGACGTATACCTCTAGCACAAATGATGCATCTTGCATATTATTTCCAGATTTGGCTCTTGCACAAGAGCTGGGCTGTCTCAGTCCGCCTATCTCGGATAGTCTTATGGTCTATTCATCAATGATTGCAGAACTCTGCTGCAGACCTGAAGAAAATGACCTATTCTGGGTATCTGGATCTCGTATTCAGCGGATGGCGGCATTTCCTTGGCTCGTTGTCATGTTTTGGTCAATCTGGCCTGAGATTATTATTCAACAGGCGTCCAAATCGCGATATGCATAGCATCCTGAGTATGCTCACTGGGAAAGCAATTCAACTTTTGGTATACCTTGCATTGTCGGAAAACATGTCACTATAGTTGAGCTCTGTCGCGGATTTTCTATACCTACATTCTATGCCTGACATCAAAACTATGAGGACAACTATGCACGAAGGCAACTGAAGGCTTCACAATACTCTTGGAAGGAAATATGAACGCACCTTTTGCAGCAGATATATCCAACGAAGGATCTCCGTCTTCCTCACAACACCCACTAGGTGGACAATATTACAGTCACTATCGAAATCGCAGCGCAGTGTTTGGACACAGTGAAAACGATTCGCCGAGGGATGACTATGTTCCGAGGAGGGCCAGGTCCAAGATAATATGGCCAGACGAGACCGAACACTGCTGGAGCGATGCGGTAACAGCCGATGCGGTTCTTTCTTTACTCCGCAAGGAGCCAGTCCAATCTCCGTCGAGCAATACTTCTAGAAGCGGCGGGAGTACCCCAGACCAAACCCGTCTGAAATGCACTGTCTGCTTCAGATATCTTAAGAATGACTCATACCCAGAATCACCGATTGCAGCTGGCTGCAACCACTCAACTGTACCCGAGATGCACATATGCAAAACCTGTCTTCGCCGGAGTTTGGAAATACAGTTCTTTTCCTTGAGTCTGGGCTCTCTGACCTGTCCTCTCTGCCATGAGCAACTATCAGATGACGAAGTCCAGCGGTGGGCTAGCAAAGAGACCTTCGAAGCCTATGACTACTTACGCACTCGGCAAATGTTAGAAGAGGACGCTGAGTTCGTTACTTGCGTCAGGCAAGGTTGCGGATATGGGCAATTACATGCCGGTGGCTTAGAAGACCCAATTGTCGTTTGCGGCTCGTGTGGGACACGGACATGCTTCATACATCGACATACTGTCTGGCATGATGGTTTAACATGCTCGGAGTATGAAGAATATATCAACCATAGAAGTGATGATTTCGAGGCACGTAATGAATTTCAGACAGGTTATCAAATGTTTCCTGAAGCCAATGCACCGAGGCAATGCCCAGAGAATTGGTCTAGTCAAGCGGCCATGAGTATGCGGACAATTGTTGAGACGGCAAGACCTTGCCCTGGTTGTAATGTGGCCACAGAGAGGTCAGGAGGGTGCAAGCATATGACATGTACGTGTATCACTTATGGAATGAGGCATATTTGATATCAGAATTACTGACGCTTTCTCTGGCAGGTATCTTATGCCAGCAGGAATGGTGTTGGGACTGTGGGATTCGTTGGCACCGGGGACACCTCGACATTGAATGTACCCAGCTTGGCAATATATCTGATGCATTATATTAACCACAGAATATGTACTCCGGGGAATCATACACCCAGATCCAGTATTTACTGCATTTATTTATCCGTGATAATGGGATTAACAATTAGCGGCAGTATCGGAAGGTTGATTGAATTGACATGGGTGGCGGGAGCGACCACAAGCCCTAATCCCGCGTTTCCTGTAAATAAACGACATACTCTGTAGAAGCAGTAGGATACTGCTCTTAAGCGAGATAGATGTCGACAAACCTGTCGGCGGCCGCCGTCAAGCGTGACGCTCTCATCGAGTGACAGCGCCTGCTTTGCCGCCGGCCTTAAGGGCTCCCATCCAATCAGCAGTGCTGTTGGGTTGTTGTAGGTGACGAGAAGCAAAATCCGTGCATTAGCGTACAAACACACTGCAGAGCAGCACATTATTCGGGGACGATCATTGGCCAAGAATTGTGATGGACTTTATGCGAGAAGCTAGGGCAACCATGCCGCTTGCTCTTCTTACCTCTATCCACCATGCTTAATGGTCGGAATCAACTCGACGATCGGCTACAACGTTCATGCCATTATCCCCGCATGGCTGATGCAGGATCCAATAACTGATGAACGAATGCAGTGAACTCAGGGAAAAAATCGGTAGCCGGCAACATGCTGGTAAGGTTTACTAGTCATGATCGATGTTCTTTCCTGATCTCCTCTCCCTCGCTGTCCCCTATCTAGACCCTCCCTCCCACGTCGATCATCTCCAATTTACTACACAGCTTACGGTACCCGTATGCTGCGTTAAGACCCAAACCAACAGATGCGGTGTTGAATGCTGTCTGGTGCTTTGTCATATTTGATACGAAGGTGAGCCGGAAGGATATAGTATGGTGAATCGGATTTTGACCTCTTACAGCCCTCTCTGTATCACGCCAGGTGCTGCTTCGATACTTTCAAGCAGGAGCAACTGCCAGTAATATTACAGAAAGACAAGGCACCATGCTGCCAGGATGGCATTCAATAGCTTCCCTGGTGAAGCGGATTGATATCCCCATTGTTGCGTCCACCACTCCAGCAGAAATTGCTGAAATGCAACGAGATGCCTGGCCTCAAGCAGGAAAATATGGGCTTGGCTGGGTTTACTTCTCTGTGATTCTACTCGCATTCTCAACGATTATACGGTTCTATCACCTTTGGGGTGACAAAATCAGGATCGCATTACACAAAGAGGATACTGCTGGGGAATCGCCATATGTCACTTCTCCCCAGGAAGAATATGAGTTGTCAAGTGCTGCCACCGATAGCTCCACCGCGCACTTCTTTCCAGCTCGTGGCCCCTTGCCCAGTACCAATACCACGAAACAGCAATCGTCGATTTCCACCGTTGCCCCATTAAACAACACTATTGCTTTCGTACGATGGGTTTTCTATAGGCCTATTCCAGTGCTACGTATAGGCAAACTACGAATTGGTTTTCCATCGCTGGGAGCATCCTCTATTATTTTTGCGGCCCTAATATTCGTCACTCTCTATTGTTTTGTGCCACAACCGCTCTATTACTCCTCAATTTCTATCGGATCTCCTCCTTTGGCGATCCGTGCAGGCATGATTGCCGTGGCTATGATTCCATGGATCATTTTGCTCAGTACCCGTGCCAACTTCATCAGCTTTTTAACTGGCATTAGCCATGAGAGGTTGAATGTTCTTCACCGTTGGGCGGGCTACCTCTGTCTATTTCTAAGCCTGATCCATATGGTCCCATTCTACGTCACACCTATCTGGGAAAGCAAGAATTTGATGTACTACCAGCAATACTTTCCCCGGAACATCTATATCTACGGCACCGGCTGGGCGGCACTGGCGCCTCTTATAGTCCTATGCCTGCATTCAATGCCGATACTCAGAGCCAGGATGTATGAGCTTTTCAAGCTTGCGCACCTTCCCCTTTCAGTCGTCTTTCTTGCCATGATATTCTGGCACAGCAAGAACTTCTTGGCATCCTGGGACTATCTTTGGGCTACGGTTGCAATCTGGATACTTTCCTACGGTGTCAGATTGTTTTATGTGAATTGGAGTAACCCCCTACGGCTGTCCTTCTTGATCGGTGAAGAATGCGCAGTGACGATACTCCCACAGAATGCTATCAAAGTCACGGTCGCGACTCAGATGAAATGGAAACCAGGCCAATTTGTCTATCTCCGTATGCCGGGCATCTCACTTTTCGAACGTCATCCCTTTACGATTTCGTCACTGTGTAGCGGCGATTTTCCTTCCGAGTATGGTGAGAATTATCGTGACCTAGCTCTCGTTTTCCGTCCCTTCGGAGGTTTTACTCGTAATGTGTTCCTCAAGACCTTTGAGTATGGTCCTTACAAGACCTGGACGGCATTCTTGGAGGGCCCCTACGGAGGGATGAAAAGAGACATGGCTGCTTTTGATGACGTAGTCTTCTTCGCTGGTGGAAGCGGCATAACTGCAACTGCCAGCCACCTGTTGGACTTGATTAAGAAGATGCGGGACCGAAAAGCAGTAACCAAGTCAGTGCGGGTCATCTGGGCATTCAGGAACCCCGAAACAATCGACTGGTTCAGAGAGGAACTGAGAATATGCAGGGACTTTGCGCCTCCAAACACAGTCCACTGTCATTTCTTCCTCACTGGACTAGGGCCAAACGGCCAGGAGCAACTGGCCCAAAACCAATTCTACGAGGAAATGCTCAGAGACAAAATGTACAACACGCTAGAGGGGATGGATAAGCGAAACTCGGCATACATCCGTGAAGAAGCAGCCGGGGACCCGGAGATTGAAAAGGAGCTTCGACGCGAGAATGAAGATGCCATTACTGCGCTCCCCCAGGCACACACCCTCCCGCACATCAATACCAGTAGACACTACAACAGCCCCTCAATGGACAATAACTATCAACAGGCGCCGTATTATTCGCCCCAAAAGAGCCCAGCAGATACTCCATTTCACTTCGGCTTTCCTCCCTCGTCAACAGCGTTTCCCAAACTGACCACCCGGGTCGGCACCGTCCCGCTGCAGAGGAATGGCTGGCGCATTGATTACGCCCGTCCCAATATCCCGCAGGTGCTCAAAGACTACTCTCGCACGTTCGGTCGTCGTACCTGCGTCTTTGTCTGTGGGCCTCCTAGTATGAGAGTTGAAGTTTCGAACGCCGTTGCTCAGCTTCAGCAGCAAGTCATAACGGACGCGTCTAAAGACGAGATCTTCCTGCATGCTGAGAACTACAATGTCTGATCACTGGGTTGTACTCGCTCTATATGTCTGAATTGCTGTGCGATTGTAGATCACCCCTATTGTCAATGCCCTAATGATTGTTTGTGGTTTGGAGGCAACTCCCAACCTGTACAGTTCTATACCCTTGAACATAATTGCGCATGAATCATTGATTACAAAGCAGCTTTGAATATACGTGTTCTGTCTCTAATCACGGCTCTATGTCTCTTGATAATCAATTCTAAGAACAATATATATGCAATGTATACAATTCTAAGTAGGCAAGCAAATAATGAAAGATCTGTACATCTATGAGATGCAGCAGTTGAAGGGTATCCTAAATAGGTGAGCAGAGAGAATAACAAACAGACAAGCAAACTCCATTCCAAACCGCAAACTCAACAAGTGAATAGCAAGATCATGCTCGCTGAGGTTCATCGTCGGCCTTCCGTTTCCTGTTCACGCCATCATCAATCTCAAGGATCTTAGAGTCGGTGAATGTTTGTACACCGTGATCCTCATTGTCTTCTCCGTCTTCGGCTTCGACCTTCTCCCAATCATCATCCTCTTCTGGGCTCTTCCTGCTATCTTCTCCCGACTGGCTAGACGCAGAGTGGACATCAGCTCCCGCGGCCTTGTCACTGGCATCGTCCTTCCATTGCAGAACGAGCTTGACAATCCGTGCCCCGGACGGCTTCAACCGCCGATAGTAATTCTCAACAACGCCCTCCTCCACCTGGAAGCCGCGCGCGATGTACCATTTCAGGCCTTCCTCATTGGCTTCATGCACGTGTGCCGTGACAGTGCGCACATTGTAGTGTTTCACTAGTTCCGAGACCTGGTAAGTAGAGCGCGCGCCAGAAGACAAAGACGAAGGGCCAGAGGAGAAGAGTAATGAGTTAAGAAGCGACGCCGCAATACCGCAGCCGCGATACGGGGAAAGCAGATGCAGGGTCTGGATGTAGAGATTTGTCGGCTCCTGCGAATGGGGCTTCGACTGGGTTTGGAGAAGTTCTGCGGTGGTGGGAGGAAGCCGCTCTAGACGACACCTGATTCCTCCGATCACTTTGTCTGTCCCCGTGCTTGTTCCTAGCGGGGACGCGGATGTGGGAGCGTATGATGTGGAGGCTGGCGCCGCGGCTCCCGGGTGATCATGGTAGATGGCCACGCGTGACACCGACGCGATCACGGGGTCTGTGATGGTCGCGGTGTAGAAGGAGTTTGGGTAGCGTATTGGGAGCAGCAAGCCCGTGATCCGGATGAGAGAGGGTATGTGAGCGGTGCTCACGGATTCGATGGTAACATGAGGGTGCGGGGTTTTGTAACTGGGTGCGATGGGATGGGGGTATGCGGGGGGATGGAAAGATGAGTCTTTGCCTGTAGGCGGTTTGACCCTGTCTGCGATACTGGTAGAGGTCCCTGGATGAGGGAGAACCAGCGATGGAGGGTGTATAGGAGGTTTGGGGTGTCTGTTGTTGGAGGAAGAAGAGGGAGGAGGGGAGAGTGGCGGAGAGGTCGGCGCTTTCGACTGATGCGCCTTTGCGAAGAACTGGTATGCCATGGTAGATGAAGGAGTGCGCAGATACGCGCTATACTGTAAAATACTCAGTCGTTTCTGCGCGTAGATCACTTCTGTGAATCATAAGAAAAACTACCTGGCGTTGCAGTCGAAGAGGGGAAAGTTGTACGGTCCGCTTGATGGACGAAAACAGCGAAAGAGAGAACGCGGAGATGAGATAAGATAAGATGGGCCGGTCGGAGAAGGCAAGTGAAAGGCCAGCGCAGAAGCCTCTTGTCCTCTCCACTCCACACCAAGGATACCTTGGACTAGATTGCGGAGTACTTTCGCATGCTATCAATATTCTGAACCTTCCATATCATTCCTCTCGTCTTATATATATACCACCTGTCTAATGTAAAGCAGGTAAGTGGGTCCTCCCTGTGAGCTGTGTTGGTCATTCACTGACTCCCTACCGTGGAGTGTTACCCGCCCCAGGCTGAGAAACCTATATACTATCGAACTGGCAGATGGATCCCATTAGCTGCTTCCTCCCTGTGTTACTCTTTTGATCGCTAGAATTCGATTGATTCTGTTGTGACGCCCCTTGTACACTCCGCTCAATCCGGTCAGTAAGGAATATCTTGCGACCTCGACTTTCTTTTGCCTCTGCGCGATCGCCCTGCCACGAGTTGATATTCGTCGTGATATAATACCCAACAGTACATGGAGCTGTTTTAATCAGTCCAAGAGATATCGGAACTGCTACGCGACCTTCTTGAACAATTGTCTTGGACAACGAAACCTAGTTCGCAATTGAGGTGCGTTCCATAAAGCCAGCGATCTACGCCTATTGTCCCAACTTATCACTGGCAGCAAACACTGGTGTCCCATTCAAGCTATCTGATATGTTTCCATTGTGATTCCCCGATGAAAGAGTGTTTTAGAAGTTGTGTTCCTTGGCGCTTGGCCCTCTAGCTAGACGCCCACCATGTTTGCAAACCCCTGTGCTTCACTCAACCATTTCGCATGTTGATACATCATATCCCCACACTGGTTATATTGCGGTCCGGTTTCTGACCTCATATCTGCAACATAGGTATCCTGAAAATGGGCGAATCAAACGGAACAGACCAGGAAAGTTCCTTTCCTTCGGGAACTATTGCGAAGCTGGTACGTATCCTTACTTGGTCTTGTACCGTCCTCTAGCTGGCTACAGTAATAAGCCAGGCATATCCAAGGCCAAGGCACTGACAAAACCAACTAGACATGTGATATTCTCAACAACACGTTCTATAACATTATCCATGACATAGTGTCAAAAGTCCATCGGGATGAAAAGATCGCTCGAATGCGCTCTGCTGTCACAATTGCTAGGCAGAAAGCCGAAGAAGAAGCAGGAAGGCGCCGAGAAGAAGCAGGTGCCAAGCCCACTGCGTTAAAACCGGGCGAAGATTTTGAAGAACTCAAGGACATCCGCGTTGAGACTGATGGTGCCATTTTTGAAGATGGGAAGGTTTATCTCAAGGGAAACCCACTTAATACTACCAAAGAAATAATCTGCCCCGACTGCCGATTGCCACGTCTACTTTATCCTGTGACTGGGCTGGGAGCCCGGCCCCCTCCGGATCCATATCGAGAATATTGTCAAAAGCAACCAATGATCAGCAAACCAGGGCATGATGTTCATGGGAATCCGTTTGCTACGGACAAACTGAATCCCAAGAAGAAGAAACAGACCAACACTTCAAATACGCCAGCGTCCAGCCCGCCTACAACGCCGGATAGCTCCTTTAAGCAAGCGGCTCCAGAGAAAGTATCATTTCCGACAGTCAAGTGCCCTAATTGCCCAAGGTACTTTGTTGTGACGCGAGTGGCACAGCACTTGGACCGATGTCTCGGCCTATCTGGCCGACAAGTCAATCGAAACAAAACGCCCATGGAAAATGGTAGCAGTACCCCTACTTCTGCGCCGCCCAAACGTCCATTAGATGACGACACTCCGCCAACTATAACGAAGAAAAAGAAACTCGGTGCTCCTAAAAAGCTTTCAGGGAAAAAGCCGCCACCGGCTCCCAGTAGCAAACTCAAGAATGGTGTGACGCCTGACATGGCGGCAGCCGCGGACGCTGCAGCCGCTGGTGACGGCGATATAAAAAGCGAACCGAATGGCGACAACGCATAGTTTCTTTTTCATCTCTCCTTAATTATAGCTTCTGCAGTACTTCTGTGTTGCTTCTCATGAGCATACAGATTTGTCTGCATCGGAGACGAGGCTTTGGACATAGTCTCCTTTTTAACGATCTGACGTAAATACTCGGCATCAAAGGCGTCAACAGGACTTGCTCTTATTGGTCGAAAAGTCTGGGACATCTCGACATTATATTCCTTCTATTCAGTTCTTTCATTTGTTATGGTTTTGCTGAATAAGCACCGTTTCTTTGCTTTCGTCTTGTGTTTCAGAGATAGATGATCATGCCGGTGTATATGTACAATAGGTTAAGGTTGATAGGTAGTACGAGAATTTTGCTTTTATCTCAATGGATATGGCTATCTTCACAGGGTTTATTGGTTTCATCTTCCTAGCAACATACATAATAGAAACTAGTAAAAATATCGCGTTTTAGACGAATCCATATATTGAGCCGGTATGTCCTGCCTGATATTTCAGGCGACTCTCTTTATCAAACATGACTCCATAGCTCCTCCACTCCCCACCGGCTACATCGAAGTCCCCCATAGAGGGCTGTATCCACCATCCTCCCTCCTCCCACATATAGTACTCTACAAATCCGTCATTCATCTAATTCCTCTTCCCAACCATGACCGACCCCAGCCTCATCTCCTGGGGCGTTTCCCGCATATCGCAAATCCTCCCACTAGACAAAGAATCACTCACGCAGATCATCACTTACGCCGCCAGTCTACCGAAAGAAGAGGGTGCCGATCATCTCAAAAACCTCTTGGGTGACTCCCCCGCAGCCTTCGAATTTATATCCGCTTTCAGTTCGCGACGAGACCCCGCGCCTCAACGACCAGCAGCTTCCAATGCACCCTCATCCACACCGACAGCAACAAGCTCCAGGAATCCAGGAGCGGGGCAAAAGAAGGGTAAGAAGTCGAAACCACCGCTACACAGCGCCGGGCCCCCGCGTCGGCCCGATAACTTCGGCGATGTCACAGGCGGATACAAGAAGGCAGATCTAGAGGAGGATTACATGGCGCCGGCGCCTAGAGCCAAACAAGATACGGGCGCTTCACGATCGCCGTATCTATCGGTCGAGGACTCATCTGCTGCTTCGTCGCGCGCTCACTCGCCTGTCCCGAAACAAAGCTCGAGCAAACCACCGCCCTCTGCTTCGGGGCCTATGCTCTCGGACTTACTACCGAACGTTAAATCCAAGGCCGCGAAGTCCTCCTCTACACGACACAGTAACAACACCTCTACGAGCCAGTCTAAGAACTCCCTAACAACGACCAACATCTCCGATCTAACCGCCGCAATCGCCGCACTAGAAGTATCCACGAACCCAACCCTGGGCAACGAATCCCGGAAATGCTCCTGCTTCGCTGCGATCCACCCTCTTTTCGACCCCGCCCCGAACTGTCTCAACTGCGGCAAGATCATCTGCTCCCTGGAGGGCCTCCAGCCGTGTTCATTCTGCGGCACACCCCTGCTATCGAACGAGGAAGTGCAGAGCATGATCCGAGAACTGCGGGCAGAACGAGGCCAGGAGAAGATGCGCGCGCATAACGAGAGCCATCACCGCGAGGGCGGACCGGGGCAGGGCCCCTCGCCTTCGGCATCTTCCAGCAAATTGAACGCTGCCATGGCTCACCGGGACAAATTGCTTCAGTTCCAGGCGCAGAATGCCAAGCGGACGCGTGTTGTGGATGAGGCGGCGGACTTCGAGACTCCTAATGTTGCGTCGACGCTGTGGATGAGTCCCGCGCAGCGGGCTCTCGCCTTGAAGAAGCAGCAGCAGATATTGCGCGAGATGGAAGAAAAAGCCCGTCCGGAATGGGAGAAGAAGAGGACCATCATGAGTCTGGATATCAAGGGCGGGAGAGTCACTCGTGTGTACCAGTCTGCTGGAGCTAGCCCTGCTGATCCAGGATCCCCTGCGGAAGAAGAGCCCGAGCCCGAGTCGGAGGCTATTGAGCCGGCAGATGATTCTACGAAGTCACGCCGCGGTGAAGCCTTCAGTCGGAATCCTCTTCTTGCGGCCGGTGGGTTGATGCGACCTGTCTGGAAGGGTCCCGACGGCAAACCGGTCGAAGCGAGACCGCAAAAAGAGCGGCAACAGACATGGCGACGAGTCCAGGATGATAAAGACGACAACGAGCAATGGATTCTCGACGGCGGCTTACATGGCTACTCCTAGATTGGGACGTGGGTTTTGATGGTTGCTCAAGGGCTGCTTGGACGTTACACAAACACAGTCAGCTTACAGCTAGCTATCTACGCATTACCTTTTGGGGACCATCTGGATTGCCAGGAAATATACGCCCCGAATTTATCGCGGGACCTCACAGCTTACCTACATGTGAATGGGGAATTAGGGCTCACAGCTGACCCGGTACCCACTATCTACCATCTATCGGTGTGAAGACAAGCAGTCAGTAGCATGTGGGACTATAGGGCACTCGGATAGAAGCGGTCCTCGAGAATATCATTGCTCCGGTTTCAGGTCCGACACCAGGCTATCAATTAGATACCAGATACAGCATCCTATGTACATCCAGATAAGCCCAAATAATAACAAAAAATCACATATCCATACATATAAGCTACACTCATATCCAGCCAACGCCACGTAGAGAGCAATTTGCCGACAACCCAATCTACAATAACCTTCCATCCACATCTCCCTCTAACTAAAAATAACCTAAGACCACGGTAACGAAGCCTGAAACCCAGACATTCTTCCAAGAGCTGACATACGTATGACACCCTCTTTCATTCTTTGTAACCAAAACATAAGGTCCGTTTCTAACCGAGCCCAGAGAGAGGTATATATACGAGGCAAGTAGAATGGAAATGGTATCCTGAGTTAGTCCCAAAGAAAAAGAGACCAAATTACTTGCTCTACCAGTGACCCTGGTCCTATTACCAAGCTCCAATATTGCTCCTTCTTTGCCAGGAACGTCAGCGGGGGGAACCGGTGTTCGGCTGGACTCGGCTTGTATCGGCTACCGTTCCGGATACGGAAGGTCTACATTCTACTAGTTAGTTCCTGGGGTTGCAATATGCTCGTCCAGGAGGTTTGGAAGACGTTGTCGATTGAGGGGGTTGTGGTGGGGGTGTCTGCTTTGCTGGGTGTGTTGGTGCGTTCCATATCCTACCTTTCTCTTTTTCTCTCTTGTGTTGTGTATTGGTGGTGGAATTGTTACATGTACGTCATCAGAGTTGCTTACGGCCGCTTAACTACTAGTCTTTTGCATATGTCATCTACAACCGCTTCTTGCATCCTCTTCGGAAATTTAACGGCCCGGTCCTTGCGTCCATAACTCCCTGGGTGCAGTTGTATCATGGCCTGAAGGGGGACCGGCATCTATGGCTTCACAATCTGCATCAGCAGTATGGGTCGCATGTCCGTGTTGCGCCGAACTTTGTCTCCATCAACTCCGCGCAGGGCCTGCATGATATCTACGGCCATGGCAAGAGGCTGAAGAAGGCCGATTTCTACAATGGCTTCACTGCCATCAAGGGCGTGTACAACACGCACAATGCGATCGACAAGACGGTCCATGGCCGGAAGAGACGGGTGCTGAGCCAGGCTTTCTCCGACCAGGCTCTCAAGAGCATGGAGGATGTCATGTTGCTGCATGTTCGGCAGCTGTGCACGGCTCTGTCCGAGCAGCAGGCGGACGGTAACAAGGCGGAGGCACAGAAGACCGCCGTCCAGAACATGGGCGATTGGTTCAGTTACCTCACGTACGACGTCATGGGCGAACTGTGCTTCGGGAAGAGTTTCGATATGTTGGTGTCCAGCGGCCGCAGGAAGATGATCCAGCTTGTTGATCGCGCAGCCAACCGTCACTATGTGGTGAGTCCCCGAGTTTCGCTGAGAAATAGAAGCCCCTTGTTTTTTTTCTGACAAATATCAACCCAGTGCGGCCTGTGGATGCCCCTTGATACCTGGCACTTGGACCAAATCGTCATTCACAGACTGACCAACGACCGGTGGAACTTCATCATGAACTCGCGCGTAGAGGCCAACAAGCGAGCCCAGGAGCGTACTCAGGCCGGCCACGACTCCAAGAAAGACTTCTTCTACTACCTGCTCAACGCCAAAGACCCCGAGACGGGCAAGGGTCTCACGACGCCCGAGCTCTGGGGCGAGGCCAACGTGCTCATGATCGCAGGCAGCGACACCACGTCCACCACGCTCGCGGCAACCATCTTCTACCTGGTCCGCAACCCGCGCGCCATGGCGCTCCTGAAAAAGGAGGTCCGGGAGGCCTTCACCTCGGTCGAGGAGATCGTCACCGGCGGCAAATTGAACGAGCTCGTTTACCTGAAAGCCTGCATTGACGAAGCGCTGCGCTTGGCACCTGCCGTGCCGGGGGCCATTCCGCGCGAGGTGATGGAGGGCGGCGCCGTCGTGGACGGGGCCTTTTTACCCGCTGGCACGGACTGTGGGACCCCGACCTACTCCATCCACCGCCAGCCGCAGTACTACCGCGAACCTGAGGCGTATGTGCCCGAGAGATGGATCGAGGGCGCAACGTGCGTCACCGCCGATGAGAAGTGGGAGAGCAGCAAGGATGCTGTGGAGACTGCGCGGAGAGCATTCTGCCCGTTCAGTATCGGGCCCCGCGGATGCATTGGCAAGGGCATGGCATTCATGGAAATGCGCCTGACCATCGCGCGGTTGATGTTCCTGTTCGACATGGAGTTGGCCGATCGACACGGAGAGGACGAGAAAGGCCATCTGGCTCTGGTGGATCATTTCACCAGCGCCAAGCAGGGGCCGAATGTGACCGTCCGCCGGAGGGATCTAACCGCCTAAGGCGAAATTTATGTGTCCTTTTTTTTTTTTTTTTATAACGAAGTTGATTCATGTATAGCGCATTTGCAAATTCATTCGATTAATAACACAAACCCCAAAGACCAAGTAAATCAGCTCCTGATTCTAATTAAACCAAAGAGAGAGAAAAATCCCCTCTCAAACGCCAAGC